AATTAAAATATATGTACAAAAATGATGTCAAGTAGTTAAAAATCTGTTGCTAATACATCGATATAACCTGTACACGTCAGATGTATACGCTACGTGACAGGTTATGTTTGCGGGTGTCCGGCGGTAAAAATTAGACGTTGCCAATAAATACACACATACAATAGAGATAAATAGACGAATAACATAGAATCCATATACAATAAACAACTATCGGCTGTTAGGCAGTTGCTATTACATATATGCACCGGCGCACGTACAGGTTAAGTTAACCTATACGCACCGGTGACATACGCGGATGATCGACGTTGCATACGTATCCATACGGACAAGTACTTTATAGGTTATAATAGAAGACAATAAATAGATGTAGAATATGTACAAATTAGCAACAGTTGGGCGTAGTTAAACTACTCTTAGGCTGCCGCGACGGGCACGTCAAGTACGTCGCGCAGGTGACGCGCCGCGGCGGCTGTCGCGTTCCATGCGTTCAGCTATATCTTGCGTGTTAAAAATCAAAAGTCTATGTTATTATATATCAAATTAAAGCTGAACGTTCGCTCTATCGCATGGAACTTACCACAGAATTGGCCGCCGACGGCGCAGGAGGCTCAGTAATCGCGCTAAGTCCACCGAAAAATCCAAAATGTCCAAAAATCACTTAAAGTCACTTTTCGCGCACTTCACCGTTTCAAATCTATTTCTTGAGACCAGGCAATTAAAAAGATGTTAAAATATAATAAATAATGTTTAGAATAATTGCTGGGCCAGACCCTGCTGTAATGCAAATGCAGGGTCGACCCGTGGCAAGGTCGGAGCAAGCTCCTGGCACCCGCCTGGTCTCAAAAAACAGTTTAATATACTGAGCCTCCTATGGAGGCTGTATCAGATATTAAGCTGATAAGAACAGATACTACACTTTTGATCTTAGCTCAAGAGGAGCCGAGAAGCGATGTCGTTGTCTGATTTTGCTCTCCTTATATTTAGTTTCGGATGAATCTTGAATACGAGAAGATGCGCCGCGTAGTGGCGAACAAAGCAAACACGTATCGATCATCCCTTCCAACGTAGATCTTAACCTCTCTTTACTCAGAGTCTAACCACGTGTGTGTGTGTGTGTGTGGTTACAGCTCCACCGAACTTATTGTATATCGTATTAAAAAATTAAAACGTTAATTTGATATATTTCTCTGTTCGTGTATGACACGGATACATTTTGATGCTTCACGCACATACGGTTATGTTTGAATCGATCTTAAAACTGTAACTTGTCGCCGCTTAAATAATTTTCGCATATATATTATGTTTTAATTAATCTAAAAATATTTTTCTTTCAATAATTTTTATTTTATCAATTAAAACGTTTGATACTTTACGTTACATTTTTTATTTTTAACTAACTTTGTTATTTTCATTAACAATATAATTCCTATTCTTTTCTGGAAGATTTAATTATATTTGCATTTGTAATTTATAGTTAGTTATTTTACTGGACTTTAGGATCTTCGATAATTGCTTCGGTTGATTGAAACTGGTTGAAAAGTGGTAGTGACTGGTTGAACTAGAAAGGCTCGAATCCGTAGGCGGTATTAACAGCCTGTATAAGCCAGAAAGATGCGGTAGGTCAGGATTATGCGGGTTCTTCAACGTTCGAAATTACGGTGTATGTTTTCTAAAAAATATGTAATACTTTGCAAAGATCTAGAAGTTTTTTAATTTTTTTTTTATAAAATAGAATAACAATTATATAAAAGACAAAATTTATGCGCACATTTGTTTCAAAATATGTTTAGTTATACTATTGTAATTAGTTTATCGATAATTATATCTGTGATCATGCGACATAACAATAATATTTAACAGATATATTATAAATAATTAAGTAATTTTTGTGTTCAAATAGAAAAATCTATAATTATACCGTTATATAATAAGAGTAATAAGTAGTTTTAAAATTTTGCGAACAAGACGAGCAAAATAAGATTCATTGTCGTGGACGATATCGTAATTAATCCAAATCCAAAAGTTAGGCTTGCGTAATTGGTCTTAATAAAAAATCTATTGGTTCTTAGAACAGGAGAAAGAGATTACGAGTATCAGCCAGGAGAATTCCGTGCTTTCTCTCCGTCATACTGTCTTAATCCTCTCGCGTATTGTTTGTGCCTCTCGCTCTTTCTTCTTCCTCTTCTTCCGTGAGAGATCTTCCCACGCACGTACCGGGGTCCACGTAAGGCTGGTCCATGGGGCCCCTAGTGAATAATTACCAGATGAAGATACCGCCGCCTCGTGTAGGCTGATATATCTGCCCTTCTCCCTTCGTCCAACGATTTTGCAACGGTACCTATGCATCTATTCTGCATGATGACTACGACAATATTTTGTCCATTCGCGAACAAATGCAACATGCTTTTGTGAAGAATTCGGACGAGGTTGTATTGTACTTTAACGTCGAAACCTGGTACTATACTGGTAAATCTATAGGTTCGTATTTGTGCAGGTTTACTGAAATGGCACGTTTTCAATACATTCTCTTTCACGTCCCACATCATATCAATGACAGCAATGTTTCCGTTACAGTTGCGTCTTTCTTCTCTGAAATCTTGTTCACATATGAATGACGCTATTTAGAAATTCAATAACACTGGTGTACAATGAGTTTGTTAATTGGGTGATCTTAGTTTATTTTTATGTATTTTTTATGCTGATTTTGAAAATTAAATTAGAATTTATCATGGATTCTAATTTTTTCAAACTGACTCTTGTTTTTTTTTAAACTTATACATATTACTAACAAAAGTTTGTTATATAAGATTTTTTTCTTAATTAAAATGATTTTAATTTTGTTTGAAATCTGTTATAATGAATAGAAAACTATATTAAATTTAGTGGTTACTCCCTATAAATTATTTGATTATATTTAAAGCAAAAGAAATAAGTACAGGAATTTTTTAATGCACATTTTTAAAACGTGCTGCCTTCACAAATTTAGCAGATATAAGACAGTGAAAAGAATAATATAAGAAACACCTTATCAGGTCAATTTTAAAAAAGTGAACTTTTGTCTATTATAATATGGTTACATAATAAATAAATTGCGAAAGAAACAGGAATGATTTCTAAATGGAAATTTTTTCAGAATCGATTTTAATGTTTTTACAAAAAGAAAGTATTTTTTATTTTTCAGAAAAAGTAGCATCACCATTCAAAAGCATTTATACGGGAAGAAAAGGTTTCTTCATGAAATAAATAATTTTAAAAACATCTTTTTTCTGGCAATATTAAAAAAGAAGTTTATTTCCGAATATTGTAATTCATTAATTACGCCCAAAATAATTTTTGTCGGAGCCAAAATCCAGAGAAAAAAATGTATCTCATATATTTTATATTGGCGTCTGTTAAATTAACTTCACACGATTCTCATAAGTTAAGTGATTTTATATACTCTACTCGTCATATATTTTTCTGCTTACAAAGTTTGATTATGAAACAGTGTTTCATGTTTTCTGTGTCAATGCGTTTGCCTGCGGGACATTGTACCCATCACTATGGTAGACAAGGAGGTTAATCGATATGGCCGGTATCGCATAACTGTGCATGCAGTCGGACGTAAACTTTACACGCGTGGGCATTTGCATACAATCGTATAGCGTGTAAAGTTCTCGCTCTATAAACGTCGCGATTCTTTCGAAGTGCGCCCATCAAATTCGCGGTTGTTGCTACGTACATAACGAATCCCGAAGAGTATTTCCGTCGGGTAATGCGCGGTGAAAGCGACGGCTTTTATTAACTGTAAGAGATTTGCATGAAAACAATGCGCGAAAGATACATCGTATACGTTTATTAGCACTCTAGGAGAATGAAGAAATCTTTCTAGGAGAAATTTTTGAAGATGAAGATTCAAAGATAAGCTCAAATCCGTAAATTTGAACACAAAACAGTATCCAAAAGCATTTCGAGCCACGAGATAAGTTTTTCATGGCGTTATTCGCAACTTATAGCAACGAAAGAGAAATCGTGACGATCCACCACTGCTGGCTGCTGCGCTCGTTGGCTGCACTTCTTTCTTTTTCCTCTCCGCCGCGTCGACTTTGTTTCTAATTAACGGCTGCCGCGTGCTAATTGTCCAGCTGACGTAGCGGGAGGCCTTAGAGATTCTTTAAGGTGAATCGAACAGGTTCAGCCTTGAGTCGTGCGAAATTGTTTTCTCCCCGCGTAAGGACGCGTCTTTCTGCGTAAATTGCGAAGTGCTCCATGGAAAGTTCTATCCATGTTTTTCCCATACTGTTGCGATAATCTTATTTTTTGTAAAGTAACTGCAGCAGTTACAATAATTATTCGAATAATAATCAGATAGATTATATATTTACATATATTTAACTATAATGCAAGATTTAACTGTATATATATCGCAAATAATTATTAATTAATAATAGTAAGTGGTACTCTCTCTCTCTCTCTATTAGGTAAATAAAAAAAAATCTAACAGGCGAAGCTGAATTTTGGAATCTAATATTTTTGTATGTAAATTCTAAATACGTCTTTTAGTTATATAAAACTGTGCGCCACTGTCGGACTTGAAACAGACTAAAGCTGAAATAATATCGCAATTAAATTGATTTGATAATAATGCTAGTAAAACATCTTAAAACATTGGAAAGAACTTATTGCAAAAACTATTACCTCAGCCAGGATCAGTATATAATTAGTTTCAAGTCCAATAATAATTAATAGATACAAATAATATTGTAGTTATTAATCATAAGTAATAATTATTTCCAATAGACTATTAAATTTCTCGTTATTTTACTTTAGCGAATAAAAATTCTTAAAAATTCGCGAATGTTTTGTTAATTATTGCTACCTTATAAAATCTAAATATTGAAAATTTTTAATTAGCAATTGTAAAAAAATATATATAGTATTCAGACATTTTCTTAATATTTATATTTAAATAGTGAATAAGAACATCTTTTCTAACAGTCAATACGATTTCTGTCTTACAGAGATGGCAGAGAAGGTGGTTCGTTCTCTATGATGACGGGGAGCTGACGTATTCTGTGGACGAACACGTGAGTAAAGCTTGTAATTTGATATTAGAAGTGAATTCGTTGGATCAAATCCTCTTAACCAATTATTTATTCTTTTTACTACCTGTAAAAAAGCTGCTTTACTGCCACGAAATCCATTTATCGTATTGATATGGATTCCTATCTCTTTTATATCACTTTTAATTGTACGATAAAAAAACTCTATATCTTTTATACTTTTTAAATCGCATTCATCAAGGTTCTTATCTTATTTAACTTTATGTCAAGAAGCATCTTTTTATAATAAATAATATCTTTACAATGTTAGTAAAATTTAGTTAGACATGTAGTTATTTTATACTATGAAAAAAATGTACTGAATCTTAATAAATATTTGTTTGAATAGGACTATCTAACTTAACATCTGTTTACAGTAAATAAATATTTACTGCATGAGAAAAATTATAATTAAATGAAATTAATAGTTCTTATACCAAATAGATGAAATAAATACATGTTTATATTTAATAAATATTCAGCTAATATTATTTAAACAAATCTTTATTAAAATTTAATACATTTTTCTCAGTATATAGTAATTACAGCAACAGATTTTACATAACATCTGCCTAGCGATTAAGTCGCATTTTATAAAATCGCAAATTAACTTTCACATTAAAAAAAACATCTTGATATCAAATACAAATATATAGTTGGAGATGAACGAGAAAGAGAGTGAGAGAGAAAAGGTCGAGTGGGGCAATATATCACGAATAACGGAATAGTACGAAAATATGGCACGAGTTCGAATATCGTGAACTGTCAGAATCTGCGTGTTATGTCAAGTAGTGAATCAAGATCTGAGAGGTGGCTTTCTCGGATGCTGCGTGCACGCGGCAGAGTGTACCGGGAGGTCGTAGCCGATTGTGTACTCTACGGTGGCCTGCCGTGCATCAGCCGGCCACTACCTACCGACATCGGCAACGGCAACGGCAACGGCACCGGCAACGTCTCAGCGCAGCGGCGTCTCGTACACAGAGAACATTCGTTGCTATAAATGACCCCGACACCGGTACATCTCGAGTTTCCGCTTCCTGGTGTCGATGCGGACGCGGAAACTCTTTCAACCCGTCAGAATTGATTTACGCATGAACAGACGCTAGAATAGAATTCATTACTGTCCCTCAAGAACGTCATTTGCTCGACGGCAGCGTCTCAAAAGCAGATTGACGTGACGGTGATCCCTTGATCATAAGTATATTTTTCACAGCCTCTCGGCGATCGATACTCGCGTACAATATATAATATCGTTGAAGCTTTTCTTCAGTTTTTCTAATTTTCTTTGGAAGATTTTTCTTTAGGTGGTCTTGATAGACGCAACAAAACTGGTTTCATTAAAGCAACAAAACTATTTCGTAATATAATAATAAATTTAATAACTTCCTCTCTCTCTCTCTCTCTCTCTCTCTCTCTCTTTAAATAATTAACGGCAGAAAGAGAGTGCGATAGTTAGGTCAGCTATTCGTTTTTTATTTCGTTTCAATTGATTTCGCGTTTATGGATCAGCCGGTACAGCATCTTGAGAAGCAGTTTCCACTTTTGATTAATGTGTAAACTTATCTCGTTCTTACTCAACGGGCTCGCCGCCATAAAATAGAAAAAAGCAAGGGAGGTTATATATTGGATCCGCGCGCATAAATTGAACAGAATTGCCGTCAGCCTTGAAATGTCCTTTACCCTTTATTTAAATCACTCCCGTGAAAGAGCGATTGTGGAGATGGCACACACGAGCGCACTAAGGTCTTTGTAGACGCTCATCCACTCCTCTCCGCAACCGGCGTGCCCGCCCCAGCCATCTCCTCGAACCCAGATTAATGATCCGGTCTGGAGGCTTAAGAGGGCCATTCGTTTTGAGAATAATCTCGACCGAAAAATGCGAAAAGATAATAACCGGTATACGTGGTGGACGCGACCGTGCGTCTACCCCCTCGGCGTGTGACTGCACCGAACACAGAACAGAAGTCGTTCTGGGCGTCCTTGGCGCGAGAATGAGAAATTAGGCTAACGGGTCGAAATAAGTCAGTCGAAAACAGCCCTGCGAGACACGCCGTATTTCCGTCGATCCGAGTCATAATATCACGACTGCTCCGCCGTGCTCTGTCTCGTTATAATATGCGGTTCTCCCGTCCAACTTCTCTCCCGAGACCCACACGCGCTCGTATTCTCGCTCGTATAAGACTTACTTCGGCCGCGAACCCGACGACCGTAAATTAGATTCCCGGAACTTCGTAAGGAACAGTCGGAATACTCGGGTAAACAAGTATCGCCAAGTACTTGTTATGGAAAGTTGGGCCTTTTTTTTAGCTGCTACGGTCTGTACTAACAATAAGTGAAACTGAAACTGAAACTGAAACTATTTTAAGGTGTTATAAGCGATAGCTCCTTTCAATCTCATCATATCAAAATTATCAATCACAGAGAATTTAGAATTTTTTTGATATTTGTTGTTTAAGCTATAAACAAATCTATGTTTTAATTAGTGTACGAAGAAAAATGTTTGATTGAATTAAACTGGAATAAAAATGGAATTCTTGTAGAAACGATTCAGAATTTTGGTTCTTACTAGAATTCTAGTAGATTTAATCAGAATTTTTTGGATATTTTGGTCATTTTCCATTAAAATTCCAGTTAATTTAACTAAATATTTTTCTTTATATGAGTGTAAACAGTATAGAGGAGATTTTCGTGAAAAAGCCTTATTTGTAGCAAATAAATGTTAGTCAGTAATTTATCAATAATGAATACAATTAATGGTATATTTTTTAAATTAATTATTATAAACAAAGAAGTATAACAATCCACATATGTATGAAGAATTATACTCTTATTTTATTACATAAAAAAGTACATTTTTTAAAAATTTGGTTAACATACTAATTTAATACTTTCAAGATAATTGGCACTAATTACATTTCACAGTTTTCGGTCCATTGATTGCACTAGGTTTCGCTGATGATGAAATAGATTCCAATTATTCTTGAAGAACGATTAAAAAATTTGTTTCAATTAGAAGGTAATATATTTTAATTATTATATCTTTTTATAGGTAGAGAATAATTTTGAGAAATATACATCTATTCATTATTAATAAATTGTTAATTATTGTTTATTCTCTCTAAAAATAAAGTATTTTTAATCTTTCCTCTTACAAATATTTTTTGCATATAAGACACTTGTATGTCGGAAAGTAATATTTCTAAATTGAACAACGAGATTGACGACTACTTTTTTACGAACCATGTTGTACTTCCTTCGCCGGTGATATTGAAGCGATCATCGGCGACCTTGTAGCGATTAAGAGATTGCGGCTAACATTCCGTGAATAATCGGCGGCGTGGCGACTCCGCTGTTGTGCATTTAGCAACGATACATCATCATCGGCCGACTATCGGCCGAAATTTTGGCTGCCATTAATTTGCGACTCACGACTTTGTATCGCGCGCGTAGGGGTAAGGCCCTAGGGAGGAACGTAGCCGCGAACGAGTCGACGATGGTCTTTTTCTGCCGATCTGTAATTTGTTCTGTCATGAATCGTCGGCGGCGGCGGTGCCCGGCGCGGTCGTGGGAGATCCCGCGGAAGACCGATTGCTTTCGAAACAAAGCCTGCTCTTACCTGTCTTCGGTGTCTACGTCCGACGAATGGGGCGCGCGAGTAAAACAGGCATTACGCCTCCATCCAGTGCGCTCCGCGGAATTGAATCCGTGGAGAGAGAGCCAACCGCGCCGCGTCGCGGGGCTAAAAATAATGGATGCTGCAGTCTCTCCCTTCGGTAGAATAACCGGCGGTAATTGCCCTTAGACATAAGATTCCGTCGGCGGCAAATCAACGGACCACATAAATGAAGGAGTCGCTCTTACTAAAACCGAATTATCCTGACGGAGATCGCCCATCTCGTTCCTCTCGTTCCTCTCGTTCCTCTCGTTCCTCTCGTCTGCAGTCTCGCAGAAATTCCCATAGAAATCGAAGCGCGTGGAGTAAGTAATTCTCTGATTCTCTGATTCTCTGATTCTCCGATTCTCAGCGTCGCGCGACGGTGAGCGCGTTTTCGAGATCTAACTTTCGCGGCCGGCAAAATTAAAAACAGATCGTATCTCTCTCGCTGTGCACCGCTGTGCACGCACGCACGCACGCGGGCGCTCGGCGTGCGTGACTTTTAAAACGAGCCGTTTATCCCCGCGAAATCGCTTCGGTAACGAGTAACATTCTCGGGATGCTCTTTCGCGACGAGCCGCTCTTATTTCGCCGGCCGGCCGTGTAGCTAATTCGTTTAATTACACCGACGTAAATCAGCCACTCTCTCGCTCGTAATCGGCCGCGGCCATCAAATTCTCGAATTATTCACGAGCCAGCCGGGCTGCCGATTCACCTTCTCTCCTCCGATACGAAAGTGAAATGGACTTTCGCGGTGTTGTACGGTCGATAGGACGAGAGGGAAGGGAAAGGATTATTAATGGCGTATCTCAGGATCAGGATCGAAAGATCCAATTTTCTGATCGCCTCGGCGATCCCGTCCTTGGAAGTCGACCGAGCGGCCGCGTGAAATAATTGAAACGATTTATTCCACGATTCGCGTAAAGCGCGTTCTAATCTCGGGACGCGATTTGTTCCGCGGTGATTTTCCATTTGCTCGTCATTCACTGAATTTACATAATTGCTTTCTGATGATACAAATAATGGTCGCTGTATCGCAGATGGAAGGCTCGCGGAAACGCTTCCTTCATGGAGGAACGGCCTTCTCGATCAATTATCGATTATTACAGCCGCGCGATGGATTCCTCCTGCGGAACGTCACGGGGAATTACTATCGCGGCGTGTATTTGTCATTACGTTCATCCGTCGCTGAACCCGTCATCGCACCGCTATTCATTACGGTAATTTGAATTTGTAAACGCGCGCCAGCGATTTCTGTCGCTAATACTAAGCATCATTTCACGGTCTCCAACATGGCGCATTGCTATTCATCGTCATCGCTGCACCTATT